ATAACCTGAATGAGTTATGGATGGGCACAGTAGGAGGTGAAGGGGTGGTGAATGCGGATTCCACACGGGCAACCATTGTGTGTGCCCCAGTCGGCGAGTGTCCAGGATGGAGGTACCTGCTGTGCTCAAAGTGGTCTGTGTGGCAGGACCTGCCTTCTCCCACCTCTGACTTACCCCAGATCCTGAACAGGGAACAGGGGGCTGGGTCTGCTGCGCACTGCACCCTGATCCTACCAGACTGAAGGACCCTGGTCTCTTTTCTTAGAGTGAGGTATCACAAGAGGAACAGGACCACATCCACAAGGGGCATGGAGGATGCAAATGCCATCCCGGGCTAATTTCTCGGGTGAGTCATGCTGGTGTCTCACCCCCCAACATCCCACAGACACCTCCTCCAGAGTGACTGCCGGGATTTCTCTGCTCAACATGGGAAAAGCTGAACTGCCTCCTTCCTTCCTCCCCAAACCCACATCTCTGCTGAGTTCTCTGTCATACAGGTGACACAGTGGCTCCCTCCTCTAAAGGTGTGGTTCTCCAATTTGCCCTTCCTCCTTCTCTCCAATCCAATAAATCATTATATTTTGAAGATCAAGTTGACTGAATTTTCTATTGGATGTGGGGATTGAGGGAAAGAGAAGAACAGGGATGGTGCCCCGATGTTTCTCCCAAGAACCTGGGAGTATGCGGATGAGTTTCATGGATGCAGACAGGATGGTCAGGAGGGTGATGTTCTTTCTGAGCAGCCACTTGATAGCGACTGGGGCTGCCAGTGAGAGAGCTGGATATGAGAAGAGGGGTCCAGACTGGAGACGTGAACATGCAAAGCCAGTGTAGTTGATGACGACTGATGAAGTCAGAAGAGGTCTGATGGCACATGGAGGAGAGAAGGCACAGGCAACACATTGTCTCTGGTGATCCTGACAACAGTGGCTTCATGGTTGGTGGGAAAGGCATGAAGATGTGACCTTGCTGAATCGGGAGAGGCTGGAGGAGGGGATGGAAAGGTTGTTACAGGGCATGCTTGTGGGGAATTGGGTGGCAAAGAGGACAGGGGGAATGGTCCTGGTGAGGGGGAACTTGTCTTGGTGCTTTTCGCCTTCCCAAACGGGGCCCAACTGAATCCCACCCTTACCGGGTTTCTGGGGCCAATGGAAAAGGAGGTCACCACATTAGTGTTTTGGAAAAAAGGAAATTTATTTTCTCAGTTCTGGGGGCCAGAAATCTGTGTAGGTAGAAAAAATATCTTCTCCCTCTGCCCTTCTACATCTCAACTGAGACCCTTGCAACAAAGAAAGATTAGGTGTCACATCTTGCGGTAATGTGTCCTAAACCCCATGCTCTGAAATCAGTTTATCTGGCAGCAGTCAGGGTGTTGGTTGGGATGCACTCGCTCCAGAATCCATACCTTGCTTCCTCCAGGTGATGTGGCTGTTCCTCTCCCTGGCTTGTGGCTGCATGACTGCTCTGTCTCTGTGGTCACATTGTCTCATCCTGTTCTGTGTACAGTCACTGCTGCCTCTCTCTTAAAGGTACCAATAGATTCAGGGACCAATGCTGATAGTCTAGGATCATCTTCACATCAAGATCCTTACCTTAATCTCATCTGTACACACCCCTTTTCCTTATCAGAGAACATTTGCAGGTACCAGGGACTAAGACCTGGATATCTTCGGGTGGTCATGATTCAGCCCACTGGACTGCTCATGTGACCTTTTCCCCGCCAAATGTCCCCATCTGGCCTCCAAACCTTGTTTATTCTGCTTTTCCATGTCCAGATAATTAGTGGGTCACTTCATGAGTGACACGTGTTTTAGGGAACGGTACCTTACTGTTCTGTAACAGCCAATATAAAGAGAGCTACAAGAAAAATTTAAATCTGGGAGAAAAAAATCTGCAAATATATACTTGATGAATGACTTTTATTCAAATATATCAAGGACTCTCAAACAAAACAGTAGTAAACAAACAAGGAAATGAAACCAATTGTGTAAAAAAAAATTTTTTTTTAAACCCTCACTCAGCAACAGAAATTGAACAACCCTATTAAAAAATTGGCAAAGGACATTCACTAGACATTTCCCTGAACTTATACAAAAAGAAAATACACAGGAGAATATGGCCAACGTTATTAATATGAAGGACATGTAAATTACAGCCAACAATGAGGTTTCCCCCTCCATTATTCCATTAAATGCTTATTATTTTTTTAAAAAAGTAGAACAGGAAATAACAAGTGTTGGTGACTTTGTGAAGGAAGTGGAACTCTATGCTTTGCTGTTAAGGTGAATCTACTTCGAGGTTCCTCAAAACATTAAATATAGAGCTACCATATAATACAGTAATTTCTCTTTTGTGTATATACAAAAAAAATAGGAAGCAGGAATTAAACAGGTATTTATACATCTCTGTTCATAGCAGCATGATTCACAATAATTAGAAGGTAATTGCAACATAAGGGCCCATCAACATAAGAACAAAAAGACTAAATGTGATGAACACATACAATGGAATATTATTCAGCCTTAAAAAGGAAGCGAATTCTGACACATGTTACAATACGAACTCAAGACGCTATGTGAAGCGCAACAAGCCAGTCAGAAAAGGACAAATACTGTATGATTCCACTTACATGAAGTCCCTGGAGGAGGCAAATTAATTGACACTGAAAGTAGAAGGTGGTTTCCTGGGTCTGGCCAAGTGGGATGCAGGGTTATTCTTTTGATGGGCACAAAGTTTCAGTTTGGGGAAAATGAATGAAGTCCTGGAGAAGGATGGTAGTGACAGTTGCACACCAATATGACTGTACTGAATGCCACAGACCCAGACAATTAAAAATGGTTAAAATGGTAAAGTTTTAATTATGTATATTTTACCTTAATAGTAAAAAAAGAAGCCAAAAATTTAATCAGCAGATTCACCAAAGAAAAAAATAATAGCAACAAAGCACATGAAAACATGCTCCACATAACTTGCTAGGACATTACAGATTGAAACCACGATGAGCTACAATGGAATACAACTTAGTAATAAGACATTACGAACAACAGATACGTACAACTTGAATCAGTTTCCAAAGTATTGTGCTGAGTGGGAGAATATAGACATAGATGAGTACATTTCTAGAATTTCCCTATGAACAGAATTAATTCACCATGATGGAGAGTGTACCAGTGCTTACCTGAGGCTGGAGGTGGGTGTGATGAACTACAAAGGTGTGGGGAAAGCTCTTTGGGGTGGGGGAAATCTTTTATATCCTGATTGTGGAGGTCTACATTTATTAAAATTCACAGAAATGCATATTTCAAGTGGGTACATTTTATTTCATGTAAATTATAAAGTTCTTGAAAGAAACACAGTGAGAAGTCACAGAAGCATCCCATCTATGAACATGGTATAACTTTCTTTACTAATACACCCAACTGTGTTGGGTCGTCCATTATGTGCTATATTCTTACTTTTTTTTTAACAACCTAGAACAAGATATCATTTTGCTTATGGGAGACTCATTTCCTTATACATCAAATAAGGGTGCAAAAATCTCTCTATGTTAGTAAGACTGAAGGACCATGTATCCAGGCACTACTGTGTTTAAAAGATTTTACGAATACATCATGACAAATACTTTTGTTACTGAGGTCAAGAATTTGTGGGATGCATATACAGAGTGAGATGAAAAATCACGTGAACTGAACCTAAAATTTTATTTGTTGCTGCATATTCCACTCATGTTTTCCAGGAATATTTTATTTTTGAGCCACATTTAACTGTGAGATGCAGACTTTTTTCAACAACTCTTATTTGTTTTTATTTTATGTAGAAATTGGACTTTTTGAAGTCCCACAGAAGATTTGAGGTGACTTACAATTTTATAGCCCTTCCAAGGTAGCAATTTTTTTAAGGCAGAACAGAAATCATCTAGGAAAAATGACATAATTGTACAAAGAAGCTAGAATGACACTGTTTCTGAAATTAAGTACCAAATATAACCCTGAGATTCCTAGCAGCCAATGCAACAAGGGAAATGTGAAATCTTATTGTTTGGTAAAAGAAAGTGTGTAGTTTACTTGAAAAGGCAAATATCTTCTTACAAAAGGCTGGGAGAAACATATTCCATATGGAAAGCCCATTGCATAACAAATGAAATATGCCTTTAATGCATTTCTTTACCCACAACTTTGTTGTTGACTAGTTCGAAAACTTGAAGCAGATGTTTCACATGACAGGAAATGCTAATCTGTGTGATGAGGACGTCAAACAGCCTCTCCAGTTCAAACAGCACTGAATGGTGGGAATCACAGAAAGAGTTTCCTGTGCACTGGCTCACAAAACATGTGCTCTCTCTTTGTTTTACATGAAGAAGCCACATCATTTTATTTTAGAGATGCCATTGAAATGTCACAAATCACCATATTAGATGTAAAAAAAACTCACTCAGAATTTTAGAAATTACTCAGCATGCTAGCAGGATACATGATAAACTCACCAGTGACTGCAACTCTAAAGCCTGGCAGTTGCATGTGTTGGGGGAGGAAGTGATGTCACTGAGTAGAGAGAATCTCATTGGCGTAAACCAGGTCTATCATATCCCTTCTTGTGTCCAGGCAACCAACACTTACATGCTCACTGAGTGTTTAGTGGATGGACGGATGGATGGATGGATGGATGGATGGATGGATGGATGGATGCTGCCTTCACTTCACTTGGGACACCTTATTTCTTCTGACCCAGATGCTCACACAAACCCTAAAGAATCCTACACTTTGCAGGACTGACAACCTGAGGGTCTGGATGAATCTGTGACCCTCCAGGTCAAGGCAGTGGTTGACTGGCTCTGTGGTGTAGACAACACTGCTCAGAATAGCCCCTCAGATGGGAGGACCTTAGGAGACTCACATGTCCTCAGAGGTCGTGGTCCTGCTCCAGAGCTGGAGGGAAGCCCCCCGTGAGGGTCAGGACCTGAGGTCTGCTTCCTGTCTGCTCCTCTCTGGGTGAGTCTCCGGGTCTCTGGTCTGTGGGGTGTCCACCCTCTCAGTGCAGTGGGGTGATGAGCTCCATCTCTGAGGTTCCTCTTCTGTGAACGGGGAGGCCCTGTGCTCCACCCCAGCTTCCGTGGCCTTCCCCCAGTGCCCATCCCACTGCCTTCCTTCTCTTTTCTTTTCTCCCACAACCGCCCAGAAACCCTCCGTGTCAGAGATGCTGCCGCTGCTGCTGCCCCTGCTGTGGGCAGGTGAGAGGACGAGGGGAGAGGTGGTAGGGTGGGAGCTCTGATGACCCTCTTTTCCCCACAGGGTCCCTGGCTGAGGATAAAGGATACCGGCTGACAGTGCAGGAGTCTGTGACGGTGCAGGAGGGCCTGTGTGTCTTCGTGCCTTGCACTGTCATCTATCCCCCGGAAAACTGGAGGGATTCTACCCCATTTCACGGCTACTGGTTCCGGGAAGGGGCCAATGTACACCAAGACGCTCCAGTGGCCACAAACAACCCAGGTCGTAAAGTTCAGGAGGAGACTCAGGGCCGATTTCACCTCCTCGGGGATCCTCAGAACTCCAACTGCTCCCTGGACATCAGAGATGCCAAGAGGACGGATGATGGAAAATACTTTTTTCGGATGGGCGGTAGAAAACTGTCATGGAGTTACACATCTAACTTGCTCTCCGTGCATGTGACGCGTAAGAACTGGGCTCCAGGAGAGGCCACAGGGGAAGGACATGGGGGTTCGGGACAGGGCTAGGCTGGTACCTTTCTCCTGGGAGGGTGCTGGTGTCCAGTATGTCTGGCCTCAGAGGGAGGAGCTGGACCAAAGCCTGAGGCTTCTCTCAGGGTCGCCCCTGGGACCCTCTCTCCTGATCCCATGTCTCCCTCTTCTCACAGCCCTGACTCACAGGCCCCACATCCTCATCCCGGGCACCCTGGAGTCCGGCCGCCCCAGGAACCTGACCTGCTCTGTGCCCTGGGCCTGTGAGCGAGGCATTCATCCCATCTTCTCCTTGACCTCAGCTGCCCTCACCTCCATCAACCCCAACAATCATCTCTCCTCCGTGATCTCCCTCGTCCCTCGACCCCAGGACCACGGCAGCAACCTCACCTGTCAGGTGAAGTTCCCTGCATCTGGTGTGACTGTGGAGAGAACCGTCCAGCTCAACGTCACCTGTGAGAGCTGTGCCAGGAAGCCGGGGTCTCTGGTGGGGGTCCTGAGGGTAGCGGGGATGGGGGTCATGGCCTCAGACACTGGGTGCTAAGACCTGAATCTGATCTGGGTGGGGGTGAGGAGGATGCCTGCCTCCACCCTTCCCCCACTTATGCAGCTCCATTGACTTGGATCCACCATGTCTTTCTGTCCCAGACTCTGCACAGAACTTGACCATAACTGTCTTCCAAGGAAATGGCACAGGTAGGAAGGAGCCTGTCATGGGCTGTAGGGAGCAGGGCCTCTTCCAGCTTAGGGCATGGCTGGGTCCTGCCTCATCCTGGTCTCCCCACGTGACCAGACACCTCCTGTGAGAAGCTGTCCCCATTGACCCCTTGTCATCCAATTATTCTCCCCTTGTCCCTTGGCTGCACCAGGAGAACAAGACGCCATCCACATGGAGGAGCCCAGCTGAGGCCCCTCATCATCCATCTCCTGACGACTCCTCCAGCTTGTCCTTTTATTTCCCTTTGATAGTCTTTAAATATTTTTGAAATGGAAAGATAGTCAAAGGCAAAAATTCAAAATGCACAGCAGAGTCTGTCTTCAGATGCCCAGTCCCCTCCCAGGAAGTGGCCAGTGTCCACACGCTGCTCTGAGCCTTGGCTTGCTCACCTAAAGGATAAGGGTCCTCTAACATCAGTAGGACAGACGTTATTCTCTCTGTGCCTGTGAGGTGTTCCCTTCCTGGATGGATTCTGGCTGTGTACACATCTTCCGTGGAGAACCATGGCATTAAGTTTTGTCTGAATGATATTCCATTTACAGATATATCATATTTTGTTCATTTGTTGATCAGTAAATAGATGTTTGAGTTCTTTCCACTTTTTGGCTGAGCTGCTATGAACATTGGTGTACATGTTTTTGTGTGAATATATATCTTCTGTTTTCTTGGACATAGACATGGGAGTAGAATTCTTGGGTCAAGTGGTGGTTTCTATAGTTATCTTTTTGAGGACATGCCAGGCTGTTTTCCACAGTGGCAGCATTATTTTCCATTCTCACCAACAATGTATGAGGGTTCCAATTTCTCCACCCAATTACCAACATTGTAGTTTCCCTTAAAAAAAAATGAGAGGGCTGCTTGTGAGTGTGAAGGGCTCTTTCATCGTGACTCTGATTTGCATTCATGTAACAATAATGATGTCATTTATTTTTTTCATGGAATTATAGGCCATCTGTATGGATTCTTTGGAGAATTATTTTTTCAACGTTTTTGCCCATTTTTTTAAAATTAAAGTTTATTGGGGGTGACAATTGTTAGCAAAGTTATATAGATTTCAGGTGTAGAATTCTGTAATAGACCATCTATGTATGACATTGTGTGTTCACCACCCAGAGTCAGCTCACTTTCCATCACCATATATTTGATCCCTTTTACCATCATATACCACCCCCTCCCCCCTCACGCTCTGATCCTTCACCCATTTTTTAATTAGGTTATTGGCTTTGTGTTGTTTTGTTGTAAGAATTCTTTATATATGCTGGACACTATCCTTATCAAATCTCTGGTTAGCAAATATACAATATACACTGCCATTATATGGGTTGGTTTTTCACTGTCTGCATAGTGTCAATTCATAAACAGAATTTCATTGGATGAGGTCCAACTGTGTAGGTTTCTCTGAGCACAACTGCTGAAAGGTCCGGGCATGGGGTGGGGTGAGGGCATGGGTGGTCCCACAACCAGTGTTGCAGGAAAGTCTGGAGAACAACGTCCAGAGTTCTAATTAGAGAGGAAGATACACAGGACTGCAGTTGAGCAGGTAATCTGTGTTTGTCTCCAGTTCCTCTAGGGAAATCAGGGCCCAGGGCAGAGGTGGTGCTGGTGGCCATCGGGGAAGTGGCTGTCAAGACCCTGCTCCTCCTTCTCTGCCTCATCGTCCTCATGTGAGTTCTGCCCAGGGAGAGGGGAGGCATGGGGAGGGCAGGGGGCATGTGACTGAGTCCCAGAATCAATGCTTGAGTGACCCAACAAGTTGCAGCAGGAATGACAGGAGGCAAAGGGGAGGTGGGTGAGGATTCCACACGGGCAGTCATGTGTGTGCCCCAGTCGGCGAGTCTCCAAGTTGGAGGTATCTGTTGTGCTCAAGAAGGTCTGTGTGCTAGACCTGCCCTCGCCCACCTCTGTCTCCCCTCCAGATACTGAACAGGGAACAAGGGGCTGGGTCTGCTGCCCATTGCACCCTGATCCAAATAGTCTGAAAAACCCTGGTCTCTTCTGTCAGAGTGAGGTATCACAGGAGGAACAGGACCACATCCGCAGGGGGCACGGAGGATGCATACGCCATCTCAGGTTAATGTCTCAGGTGAGTGATGTGGGTGTCTCACCCCCAACATCCAACTGACACCTCCTCCAGGATAACCCCCGGGATTTCTCTGCTCAACATGCCCTAAGCTGAGTTGTCCCCTTCCTTCCTCCCCAAACCAACTCCTCTGCTGAGTTCTCTGTTATATGGGTTACACGGTGGCTCCTTCCTCTAAAGGTGTGGCTCTCCACTTTGCCCTCCCTCCTTCTCTCTGATCCAATAAATCACTAAGACTTCTTCATATGCCTCCTAATCACAGCTCACCGTAATGCCCGTCTCTTCCCCATCCTCACCCTGGTGGTTCCTTCCACTTCATCTTTTCCTTGTGCCTCTGAACCTACCAACCTCCTGCCTCCATCTCACTCCTAAGCACAGGCCTCCTGACAGTGTTTCCAGAGACCATATCATTCCTTCCTGAAAAGCATGACAGCGGCGTTTCCTGTCTGTGGCCAGAGACGCAGGTGCAAACACCACAGGCTGGATTGGAGGGTCTGCTGTGGTCTGTCCCCTGCTGGACTC